CTGAAACATATTGCTGAGAATGCTTATATATCCCTTTCAGTTTATCTTCCAAAGAACCAGTGACTGTTTAATAGTGTTTGTATTAATGATTTCTTCTTACTACTTTCCCTTACAATGCGAGCTTGGTGCCTCAGTGATAACAATTTAGCTGCACTGCTGGTTCACTGAAAAGCCTTGGGAAGATCACTAATTTATGATATACATCTGCCAAGTGATGATCCCACTCCAGTTGTCTTCCCTCACAGTGTTTTGTAGGTTGGAATGTGTAGGTAGGTGGCCAAGTCTGAATAGCTGTGTTATGTTAGTTCAGTAACAGTGAAGAGTTATTATTTTGGGCTAATGCTAAAGCATAACTACTGTATGGCCTCATACACATCTGAAATTTTTACAGCCTCCAAAAAAGAAATATACACAGTCACTTACAGGGCTGTGTCCAATCATTCTAATGAGAAGATAAGAGATTGTTTTGCAGCACAAAGTGGGAGAAGACTTAATACAATCAGTCACAGTTTCAGTAGTGCCTTTGCTTCAATACCCAATTTATGTCAATTTGTACCCAATTTTCTTAAGTGGATGGTTGAGAACAATATTACTGTTTTTTTATCTTCCAGGTAAGTGTATTTCTCTTTCCATTTTAGCTGAGATAAGTTATGAAGTCGCTTCTCAAATGCAAGTTTCAGTCCGTCATTGAATAATAACTTGAATGATTGTCCCTCTTTTCCTAACCCTTGGATTAGAAACATAATTGAACAGTCTGAATCTGCAAGTTTCAGTCCTAATCATTCTTTGTTTTGTCAGAGAAGTACTGACAAAACTGACCACTGTCCCTAGCAATCTCAATACATATTTCAGCCATAAAGTTATAAAAGGCTTCAAATGTATCTAAAATGTTTAACTCTGGGATGCTGGGGAGGGACTCTTCATTAGGGACTGTAGTGACAGGACAAGGGGTAGCAGGTTCAAACCTAAACAGGGGAAGTTTAGATTGGATATAAGGAGGAAATTCTTTCCTGTTAGGGTGGTGAGGCACTGGAATAGGTTGTCCAGGGAGGCTGTGAATGCTCCATCCCTGGCAATGTTCAAGGCCAGGTTGAACAAAGCCTTGGGTGACATGGTTTACTGTGAGGTGTCCCTGTCCATGGCAGGGGGGTTGGAACTAGATGATCTTAAGGTCCTTTCCAACCCTAACTATTCTATGATTCTATGATTCTAACCCAGCAGCCTGAGAGATGAAACTACATGATTAAGTTCTTGATCATGTTACACAAATAGCCCAGCAAAGCCATGCCTTGTTTTCAAGGTAAAATGATAATTAAAATACATAGAAGAGAAAAAGGCTCACAGTATAAGAAACTGCAGTTAAAAATTAAGAAAAGTGATTCAGAATTCTGCCTTAATAGCCACTATACTTCAGAATAAAGACAGAAGCTCACACATTCGTTGCTTATTTCACTGGCTAAAACTGGAAATCCAGATGGCTTCATAACAGAATCTTAAATAAAGCTAACCATTTTCACAGCAATTGTCCATGATACTTTTCATGTTGGCTAGCGCTTTCTGCACGATCCCAGCAGAAACACAGGCTACTTTTAAAGGCATTCAAAAACCCAACGAGATTTCAAGTCCTTGGAAACCCACCCCAATGCAAATCTCAATACACTTACCAAAGCACAGCATTTTCTTGTAGGAAACTGGTGATGATATTCTGCCTACATCTTCTGCATATTTCTGAGCTGTTAGCACGTAGCAACACAGAAGGTCTCCTATGAGCTCACTTTCAGCCTCGTGTCATATATTAAAGGGGATTAGCAACAGCGACATTTGCAAATACATCTATCTGCAAGGCAGAGTAAGAACTCCTCATGACTGAGGCCAAAACTGATCTCAAGTTTCTCCTGTTATTTCTTCAGGCATTTCTTGGTGTATCAGTGGAGTTAGATGATACTGAAATACTATTTGCCTCAGAAATCATTTGAGCTTAAGATTCCCACATCTCTGGAGAGGTGTACTGTCAGGCACAAAATGCCTAAGAACAGCATTCAGTCAGGAAAGAGATGATGGTCACTAGTGCCAGTATTTATCTCACTACTGTAATATCCCAAGGAACTAGATGACTTCCTCAGCATTGAACCTGAAGTTATCTGCTGTCAGATCATCAGCTGTGCTAGCCACAAAGTTATCTATAACAGCCAGATTCAGTAAAGCACAAAAAAAAAAACACCCCAACACATGGTTTGCATAGGTGATACACAAATCCCAGCCACCTACCCACTCAGCACCTGGAAATACAAATGACAGAACAACCCTAATACAGTCTCCAGTTCTCAAAGCTGGGAGAAGAACAAGGCAACTGAACACCTGAACTGGCCTTTTATACCCTTGTTTCATCTAGCACTTGCTTGAATTCCTTCTGCCCAGCTGAGAACCATCAAGCTGTTTTAGAAACACCCAAGCAAGGGCTTTTGTGAAACAGCCAAAGCTCAAGGACTCTTTGGCACCCTCAGAGCTTAGGAAAGAAAATCTAGAAATCTTCTGTAGTGATTGAGGAAACTACAAGATGAGTTAAAGCCATTAACTGCACAATCACAGGTGGTGTTCTGTGGATTAACTTAGTTTCTCAGCCATTTTTCACAGACCTCTTTAGAAATAATCCAAAGGTCCCAGTGGTCCATGAATCACAGTCACTGCCTGGGAGATGCTATGTCTAAGAGTGTGAACAAATGTAATCATTACATGTACAAAATAAATATTTTCTGGTTTGTTGGTTTGTTTGTTGGGGTTTTTTTTTCTTCCTCAAGAGGTCAATTTCATATCAATATTATTTAGTACTCAAGATAGTATTATATGCTATGCACTGAGATTGTTTATAAAATAGTTTCAAAAGTAGTTTTACTTCTTCTATTTTCTCTACTCAAAGTCAAATGAATGTGTATCAATGTTTGACCATCACAGAACTCAAAAATCCCTTTGACTTGAAAATAATAAGAACATGCAGCATTTTGGGGAAAAGGTAAACCAATGACTTAATTTTTGGTTTTTGCATTGCTAAGGAGAGCTGATAACTTCTCTTCACAAATTTCAACCTTCAGTAAATTTAAAACTATGCCTGGCTGCAGCTACAAGCGGGATGCAGAAGCTGCAGGGTACTGAAGCCACTCCCATAACATTTAAACCAGGGTGTGCATCAAACCAGGAGATTCATAGTAATCCCCTGCTATTAGACATACTTTCCCTGAAAGTGTGAGTTCCCCCCTATTAGCTGCTTAGGAGGGGACCCCCTTCACCCTGCACGCTTCCTGAAGTGGTCTGGGGTATGCAAAATGTTTAAATTAGGGGAGAACCACAACAGTCCTATCTCCAGAGTACAAAACATGACCTATTTTTTTTAATTGCTCACAAACAAGACATGTTCAAAGCGACACAGATTTGAACTTGCCTAGAGCCAGCTCTGTAACTCACACACATCATAAGAAAGATTTGGTTCTGAAACCTCATCAGCTAAGTCAGCAATCCATCAGGTGAAAAACTGATGGTCCAGTATGTCGGAGACCAGCCTTCTTGGAAAGAAGACATTATAACAAAGACAAGGCCACCTCAGGTTTTGGTTGGTTTTCTCCTACCTGACAAAGAGCCCACTGGTAAAAAGGATTTTGTCAGCAACTTCAGTACTGCAGCTTTATATTCCTGAAATTCCTGGAGACTACAACAGTTAAGCATTTTCAAAACACTTAATATCTTAAGGCTCTAAGGTCTTTCCCCCTTTTTCAATATGTACCTTTCAGCATTACTGACTGGAGAAATATCAGCCTGCTTAATTTTTAAATGTGAAATTGTGATAGATTGTGAGCTGTGGTGGGTATCTGCACCTACAGACTGAGAATTCACCCAGGGAAAGCACCTGGGGAAAAAAGCCTTGTGATTTAAAAAGCCCTAAATACTGTTTCTTGTGGACATTCAATGAAACGCGTCTGTTCTTAACAAGACCAATCTTTTGTTTAGCTGAGGTTAAAAATGGTAATCTAAAGTCTTGGAAGCCTGAATCACAAAAAATTGTCACAGTCCGGCTTATAAAAATGTTATGGTAAAATCTTCGTTCTGTTATCTCTGTGATGGGATGGATGAATGCTAAACACGAAGCTCTGTAACTGATTCTGAATTTAGATTCCAATAATCAGGTAATAATCTGATTAGATATCAAGCATTTTATGATAAGGCTTTCATGTATTATTTACGTTTTGTTTCCACATCTAGCTTCAACTCTTCTGAAAGAGATTAAATGAAGACTATTTTTAATTTTTATACCACCAACTGCAAAGTAATCCTTGAGATTTAGTAATACCAATCCACAATTAAACAGTTTGCAAACGCGGGCTAGACAAAATTAGTATGACTTGCTGAATGAGCTCTTTTCTTCGCATTTTTAACAGTCATAGCTATGTTGGTCTGAGGACAGAATCACTTTAGAGTCAATGTTGACTTCAGATAGCAGTGCAGTGCTGAAAGCATATTCCTATAGTAACCACTACTCATCACTAATGGAGAGCCGCATTTGGAAGGCTTTTCTTCAGACTGATAGTTCAAATGTGAATGCAGGTTCTGAGTCTTTTCCATTGCACATATCTCTGTGGCTACATATTACCTCCAGCCATTATTAAAAATAATAACATTGAAATCAATGAGAATTACTGGTACATGGCATTTTCTCACTGTTACATCTGGACAGTTGCAGCATTGCACTGGCAGGTTAAATGGCAACTTGCATATTCACAATGTTAATGTATTCACAGCAAATAGATAATAAGTTTGTATTTTGCTTCCATTATAGGAAAAACTGACAAATAAATGTTTTGGATTTTTTTTTTTCCCTTGGATTGTCCAAAAATAGAAATTGAAGCTACAAGTTTTTTTGTTTTGGAATTGAAAAGCTTATATATGCAGCTGAGCAGCAGGCATATGACACCAAAGTTGGGTAGGCCTTTCCTCCTTTCCATTTAATAAAATAAATACTTGTTTTCAAACATCAGATCTCATCCTAGAGCTAATATATACAGCTAATATATAATTACTATGAGATTAGGTGTGATCCTAATCTACTAACTAGCAATTAGGGTATAAATGAAGTGGGATTTTTAAATTAACCCTTCTATGTAGGCCAGTTCAGTATCTCTTAACATCAGCCCAAGTCCTTTCATTGGCAAGACTCCACATATAGTAGTATTTTACTTCCTTAGACAGAGTAAAACTTCTTTTGGCACAGTAAAGCTGCTTTTATGAGTAAAGTTTCAAGATTTGAGAAGATAGTGAGACTATACAAGAATTTAACTATGGTCAAAGGTTCTGAGCCCCTGTGATTTCAGTATCAGCATTCTCTTCCAGATGGTTATACTCAACTATTTTTCCTGAGTTACCTTAGTATTATTCATATACTACATATACTAAATAATTTGGCTAATATCCCCAAACTGTTCTCTGCTGGGAAGTCAGTGTTAACCAAATCCAGGGTTCTCAGATTCATACACATTGTGGTCATTTGAAGAACAAAGCAAGGCTAACCAGAACTCCCTCCACTGCTGAAGCAGCATCCTTTCTAACCACAAAGTTGGAGGAAAAGTTTTGGCGTAAGTAGAGACAACGGTTTAATATATTCCTAAAGAATTGTTTAATTGGCTTTGCATAACTATTTCCTTCCTGCTCAGATATTGGTATGTCCCCATTCCTATTCTCCTAACCATGTGGAACACATACTCTTCTGCCACATGTTAGGTTTCATACTTTATATTATTTAAATACAACGGGACTGTGTGTTATTAATCAAAATCTAAATATTTTTGAGCTGTTTGTTAAACAATTTTCTAGCATCAAAACCTTACAAAATCACAGTCTGAGACACTCAGCTGCCTTGAAGATGTCTTTAGAGAACACTTCAAAGAGGGAGTCTTTTGTAGAGGTCACTTAACTGTATTCAACCCTACAAATGCAATGAAACATTTTCTGTATTTTAAAAGCTAGAAAGAAAAAACGCTATGCAATTGTTTTAAATTGTTGGACTATTGAAAAAGTCATGTTAAAATAGTTAAGTTCCATGATGAGACTTGCCTTACAACTTCTGACATGCATAAGCTATAAAGCATGCCTATCATTAATTTCAGAGAGAGTTTCAGATACCTACACTGAATTGAACTGTCACAGTTGATGTAATTATTAATGAAGATTATAGACCATGCTCAGAAGTTCAAATAGTGCCCATTTCAAAAGTCCCCTCAGTAGTTATGAGTCCTAGAACAAGCTACAATGACTGGTCGCACCACAGAGAGCAGAGTATGAAAGCTCCTTTTGTTTAAAGCTTGTCTTCTCAGTCCTAGTTACAGCAGACTGGTGTCAGTGCAAGAGATTTTTGTTATTAATAAATCTAATGCATCTCATCAGCATCTTTAACATGCACCTACGACCAATATGGAGCAGAAAAAAAGGAGTATGTAGTACTTGTCACTTGATTTCAAAACTGTTTTGTTGCCTGTATGAAATTATCTCAGACTGAGTAACCTCACTGCAGCGAATAAGATGTAGCAGACAGTTGTGTGGATGAACATTCTTGACATTACCAATCAAACTGCAGGCATCTGTAGTACCACTTTCACCTTTTTATATCAAGTGATGAGTGATCAAGAGTGTTAGATCAGCCCCGACACAGCTCTGTTGCTAAATCAGAAAGAAAGACTCCAGCAGACAGCCTAATGCTGGACCTGCTGCATTCTTAAAAGTGGAATTAGTATTCTTAGAAGTGAAAATTCTCAAAAGTGGAATTAATATCCTTAAAAGCAGAAATACATCAATGTGTGTATGCTTTTAAATACACCGAAATGTGGGGGAAATTAATGTACTTGCAGAAATATATTCATGTACATATTAGAAATCTGAACAACACAGGAAAAAATTGCTATCTAATCTGAATTTTAAACAGAGCAAGAGGATTTGTGATGCTGTTTACAACACTGCTGTTTTCAGGTTCACTGGAATGTTTGATACCTTCACAAACTAAACTGAAGATTCGATCTTGTAGCAGTAAGCTCACTGAAGCCTTATGACCAGATAACCACTTCATTTTACAATGTCATTTTTACTTGTGTGAATCAGGAATATCCTCTCTGGAATTAATTTAAGCTACTCTTGTGAATGTAGATTTATGGGCAAAGAGAATGGAAATGAAAGCATGTTGTTTAACAACTCTTTTTACTTTTAAAGGTTTTAAAATATTCTTTTTAGCTACTACAAAGAAAACATGGGCACACGTGCACACATCTGGATGTACACGCTTGCACACCTTCCCTAGGAAAGTAGCAAGCCAGTGTTGGCTGCTAGGCATTTTCATCCAAGTGATCTACATAGAAATAATGTACAGTTCATTTTTTTTTCTCTCCTCTGAGAGATTTTAGAGAACAATGCTTAAGCAATTCATGGAACCTTTTCTTGTTCTATGTTAACAGCATAAAAGAAATAATAAAACAACTTACACTAAAACATGGTTCTAGTTGATTATAAAATTATAAAAAGCTCATTATAAAATAAGCCTTGCAAAAATAAATGGTTTTGTTCCTGTTTCCAGAAACAAGATGGTATTAGCAGAAAAATTACTAATTATAATAATCTGGACATGTTTGCTACTGTCAAGTGTGTGGAAGGCTTGGAAAAGTGATTATTTCTTAGTCATGCAGATTACTTGAACCCAAAATAAAATTGCCAGTTTTTCTGGGGCAGCATCAGTGTTTAAATCACTTAAGATTTAAGTCCCTGTCTTTCATTTTCTTCCAATTGTTTTTATAGTAACTTCTGTTTGATTGTGATAAACCACTCTCATCTACAGCATTTACCCTAAGAGTTTAGCAAAATACACACTGTAGAATAAGGAAAAAATACTGGCCTCCTGAAGCATTTGTACCTCCTTTCTTCCTCCTTCTTTGTTTTTGTTGTTGTTGTTGTTATACATATGTCTCTAAGGTCTATCTCTTGGTATTTGGTACACTACCACTATGTTAAAGGAGAATCTACGGCTCCGTCTGATGTAGTTTTTCAGGGGTGGAACACTTTCTGCTGACAGGTATCAAGCACCTTGTCTCTTAGCAGATGATCATTTCCAAATCCCATCCTAACTGATATTTGCTCTTTGGGGCTGGGAAAAAACCTGCAACATATTTTATAAAGCTCAAATTGGCCTTATCAAACAAAACATTTGCCAGATTTGTGAGTGGCTTTTGACAGCAGGAGACATCAGCACTGGCCTCCCCAACAGAAGTCATTGCAGTTAATGGAAGCTATTACGGAAGAATTCTGGCAAGATTTTTCTTTTTTTTTAAACAGCTAAAAAAAATTAAAAGAAAAATATGTTGTTATGGTAACAGCTATTTGAAAAATACTGTAACAAAAGGCAACCGAATATCAAACGACCAAGCTGCTACTTCAACTACTTGGTTTTCTTTTTAAGCAGTTTATTTACAGAGATCCCCTCCCTCTTCCTCATGCAGCCACAAGTGTGATTGGACATGCTCAGGTAAAACACCATCTGCAAACAGTCTGTGTTCAAGCAATGTCAGTCTCAGAGCTGCAAAACTCCAGATACGCAGATTTTTACACAACACTAGCACATCCAGCATTACACGGGCTGAGTCCCTCCCTCACCTTTTGTAGTGTTCCCAGCCTGCACTTCTGCACAAAGAGGTGTTCTTCCTGCACTCCTATTGTTTCATGGAATATGAGTAGTCTCTTTGCAGGTATCACAGCTACTCCCTGGAAAAAATGCACTATCATCACATCCCTGTGGTCTGAGAAGCAGCACATCCCAGCTGCTGGGAAAACAAGGTTCCAAAAGAGTTTTGGGAGTTAAAGCAGAACACAGCAACACATCTTTCCAAAGCCTGACCCTGGATTTTGCACCTTACAGCTTCTCAGAACATTTTCTCTGAATGAGTACAAGTTTCTACTTGCACTAACTTCAACGTCTTACTTCGAACGGGAGGAGCAGGTAGTCCTCACTCAGATAAAGCTTCTGTTGAAGTTAGTGCATAACAACTTGGGTAAGGGCTGAAAGGTCTGGCTACTTCATTTTACGTCCTGATGTATGTACAGTGGTAATGTGAAAAAGCTGAAGGACACTGCCAGTGCTTCCTTTTAGGCCTGTACTTTCATCTGTCACAATTACAAAGAAACAGACAAACAGCACACAATTTTATTGTCTCAGGCTGAGCAAACCTAGGAGCTTTGCTAAATTCCCTCCAAACTGCATAACGGAGGATGAAGTTAACACTCAGTAAGTACTGTGTAAGAATTGTGAACATTCTATTTCTTAATACTGAGGTGACATTTTAGGTATGTAAACTTGCACCTTGTTTCACTGCTTTCAATCTCTCTGAGGTGTCTAACAGTCTGTATTTAGAGACAGTCTCATTTGAAGGAGAGTAACTGATGGGGTTTATCTAATAGGATTATGAACAGGGAGCAGGGCGATAGAGATGCTAGCTTCTAGGTGCTTTGCTGTAATTGGGAATTTTGTAGCTGTGTTGTTTTCTAAATAGACAAATGTTCTTTAGTGTCAATATTAACAATTAGTCATGTTCATGAGCAATAAAAGCTATGAGAAATAATGGATAGCAGAAATCCACAATGGCTTGTTTTGCACCGCTTTGCAAAAGAGAAGGTGAGCTATCCATTCTCTGCAATCCTCCAAATTCAGCATCAATGTGCTATATAGGTCCTACCAGTGCTCATAAGTATACATGGGACTGCTTTTGGAAACTGAATGCAAACGGTGGTATTTTCTAATCCACCCAAAATCCCTTGAGCATTTCAGGCATTCTTGTCAAAATGATTCTTTAATGTGGGACCTACTTACCACACTTGTTTTACATTAGAAAATGCTGTATAGGTTGTTTATGTTTGGAAAAGTCAGTGGAGAGGGATTTCTGTAAGTGTTCTGAAAGAAAGCTTGCACCGTTACTGTAACAAGGACAATTACAGACAGACACAGGTAATAGCTGTTTAGAAAATGTTAGGAGCATTATCGTGGATAATAGACATTCTTTTCTTAGCATTGCCCTTGCCTGAGATTCATTTTCCATTGGTGTTGTCCGCCTAGATTGCTTAAAACAGCTGTAGTCTTCTTATTTACATTAAGGCAACAGAAAGTTGACTGCTGGCTTGTCCCAGATGGAGTTCATCTGTACAAAGGTCTGAAACTGTGAGGGAATACCTAGAATGTCAGGTATGTCCAGTATCTAGTGCTGCTGCAAATTATCACCTCTTCCAGGTCAGAAAGGCCAAAATAATTTCCAGCTCTATTTTTCTAAAAGCCATTTTCATTTAATCTGTCCTTTACAAATGGTAAATTTAATGAGAACTTCAGGAATAATTCAAACTAAAATTAAGAAAAAAACCTTGATATATATGTATTAAATTCAAATGTACTTTAGTAAGCAACAACCTGGCCACTATTGAAATAGTTCTCAAGTACTATTGAAATAATAGGCATGTTCGCAAAGGAAACCTGCTTTCTTTTAAAGTGACTTGTATGCATTATTTCAGCTGCTTCTGATAATAGCACATTTAATACCCAGGCCAAGATGCAATCAATCTTTTTTGTTGGAAGAAGGTGTTATATTGTACCCGTATGCTTATATTCACCTAGCAGTTTCAATCTGCTAAGCAGCCTAAAGTTCAGCAGGGCTGCTGCTTGCTTGATCTCCGCTGTGTTCCTCTTGCCTGCTTTGCAGGGGGGAGCAAAGGAGGTGAGAGTGGGAATGGCAAAAAGGAAGAGGTCTGTCTCTAAAGAGACACTGAATTAGACTGGAGTGAATAGCTGACATTCTCTGTAATTATACACACATTGAACTCCTTACAGTTGTCTTAAGTTACTTCGAACTGCATTGGTGTGGCCGTCCATATTGATTAAAAGCAGCATCTATTTACCTTAACAATAAATGTGGAGATTAGTAAAAGTTCACTTGATCACAATAAGAAGAGGGATAATTAAAGGGCAATGCAACCCAGATGGAATGTAAATGCCTGAAGCAGCATATTGGAAAGCTCAGGCTGCTTTTGTACAGAGAGGGTGTACGTGTGTGTAGGTTAAGGCTTGCAGAAGGCACTTCAGGTAGACGAGTTTTGTGGAGATACTTATAGCAGAGGAAGGCCAGAACCTGTCCTGAGAGGGCTGGCCCAGCAATTCTCCTGGGCAAAGTGGCAAACACAAAGCTCTGGAAAAGGAAAAAGGCTTTAAAGCACAATGTGATTAAAGGGATAACCTCTGCACATTTGAAAGAGGCCTCCATACCTTTTATTCTTTTTTCCCATATCCTCTATGAGAAAGAACAAGTTTAAAGTAAGCAGGACACTGCTGATTTTACAGGTGAAGTTCTTGATGGCATAGGGTCTGTAAGAAAGGGAATAACTGGGTTTGGCATGTGACAGATTCCATAGAAACGCACCTCCTCTCGTTGTGGTATCTCCTATAGGGAAGGGGAAGGACACCTCTTATTCCTGTCACATCTATCGTTCCATTGCCATGGTAGACATTGCATTTTACTAATCCCTTTTTATCAAGAAAGCAAACAGCTGATTACCATAAAAGTGAGTCGTCTCAATCCCATATGGATAACCTAGAAAATCAGAAGTGGCCATATCTGTGCTTTGTAATGAAATAGTCATATCACTTGACAGGACTTGACACTCACCCCTTGCTTCTTTTCTTTGTACCAATATTGATGTGCTGTGTGCTTACCTCTTTGCAGAAAACGACGTGATAAAATGGTGACTTTTGACAAGCATTGCAGCGATTGCCAGAGACCAGAATGTAGGAAATAGTAGACCAGACTGTTACTGAAACACAAATAATAATAGGGATCTTAATAACATTCTGCCTTGTGGGATATCGCAAAATAAATTTCCACCTGAACAAAAACTTACAAATGTTTTTGGGTTTTTTTTCTAACACTGTCACCAGCTCCCATCAAAGTCCCATTTTAAAGAATAGTTTAGTTAGTTCACGTGGGGGGGGGGGGGTGTTTCTCAGTTTGAATTGGAAACATGTCAGAACTGTTTAACACCAAGCCAAAGCTTAATTCAGTTACTTCGTAGCTATAGAGAAGATTGACTTTGCAGTGCTAAGTAGCAAAGTGAGTAAGGTTATCAAAAAACCCCATGGAAAATACATGAGACGGAGGCCACCAACTGACCAAATGCAAGGCATGATCCTACCCTTTCCAACCTGCATCTCTGTACCCCTAACAAACCACTGGCAAGCATGAAGACACCAGCCTCTCCCAGCCCCTCACTCTGGGGCTGCCACAGCTGGGAGGAATTTCCCAGGCCTGAGAGGTTCCCTGGGTCTTCTGGAGGGGAGTAGACACAGACAGACCAAGGCCTACGGGGCAGCTGCTCTGGCTTTCATAGCAGCCAACACGGTGACATTTCTTTGTTGTAGAATGGTTAGAATACTTATCCATGGTGAAGAAGGCTGCTCATACCCCCTTCCTCCCTCACCTGGCACATCCCAGCCCGCTCTCCACTCCATACCTGCCTTGGAACTTCCAGGACTGGCGGCTCTGTGTCCACAATGTCATGAAAAGGCTACACCGAAAGCTACTCAAACATTTGGTTAAACGCATGTGTATGCTACTGCTTTTCTCCTTGCGTTACATATGCACAGTGGACTAGTGGGTTGTTTAGGAAGCAGTCAGGAATCTCTTTGTTTCTTTCTTTCAGGTACAAGGTGAATTAATCCGTTTGGAAACCAGCAAATTCACCCCTCCCCTCCTCCCCCCATATGCTTGATTTCTTCCAGCCTGCATCTCTTTACAATAAAGACAGATAAAGCTCGGGTACCCTTGCAGACGAAAGAACTGAGCCTGTTTCTTTGCATGGAAGTTTTCTAAATAAATCGCTTTTGTTGTTTAAATCCGTGATGAATGGAGACACAGGGCCAGGTTGGTCGCTGGAACAGTACAATGGATGTAAGAAGGTTTTTTTCTTTGCCATATAAATCATTCACATTGTTTAAGGTACATTGATCAATCTAATGGCTTGTAATAGGCTCCTAATTGCCACTAGGAAAGTATTGCAAGCTTGCATTTGAACGTGAAATGGTTCATGATCTGAGCTGAAATTCACCTTAAGCCTGAGCTCCAGTAATTACAGAACACAGAAGGAGCACAATGAACAGTTCCCCGTCTTTCCTCTCCCTAATCCCAGGACAGGGGGAGGGAAGAGAGGGGAACATACGAAGGGGGGTGGGGGATATCCAGCCTATTTTCCTCTTCCAAACCAGCAATTCATTAAGGGGCGAAACCTGCAGGAGGATTTATTGGTCATCGTGGACGGAAGACAACTTTGTAATGTCAATCATCCTGCCTATTACGCTCCCACATGTCTCTATCTGCAGATAGACAGCTTGCTTAATCACAGCCAACATTCTGAGTCACGCCTGGCTAAAAATGTGGTATAAGGAGCTCGGCCGGTATCATAGGCGGGATACCAGGAGGAACGTGGGGACGGGACTCTTGTGCCATAAGGACGCTCTCCCGCCTCCCTGAAGGGTGCTGCCACTCCCCTCGGCCCTGGCCGGCCCCGCGGGGAGAGCGTCGGCAGCCGCCGGGACCCCCCCGGGACAAGGGCACTGCCTCCGGGGCCGACCGGGACCTGCGGTGGTGACACTGCCGCCGGGACCGGCTGGGACAGTGCCAGTGCCAGTGCCAATGAAACCTGCCGGGACAGTGGCACTGCCGCCGGTGGCGGCCGCTGCCCCCCGCTGCCCCCCGTGCCTAAGCCCAGAGCTCATCACCAAGTCACCGGAGCTTCTTTAATAGACTTGTGTGAGAAGGTGGTTTTACGCTCTATAAATGTGGGTCCAGCCGTTCCCTAATTAAAGTCCTATTTAGAAATACCTTCGTTTAACGAAAGCTTTATGAGCACTGGCACTGGCTGGCACCTGCTGTAGCAAACCCGAGCTTGTCATGCCCAACCTATACATCCTAACAGCGCTGGGAAGCGTGTGAACCAAGAGATAAAATCCTCGTACAACGTTCCTCATACAACGTTCCTCAGACTTTCCTACCAAGGAAGAAAACAAATCCATGATGCTGTTGAATAATCTTCCAATAATTGTAGTAATTAAAATCATCACACAGGCTGCAGTCACCTTCCTTCCTTTGACACTAGTCTTCCGCGGGATTGTTAACGTCTCTTTGGCTGAGATAAACAGAACAAGGGAGGTTTAAAATACACGGTCCAAATAAATTTAGCGGAAGACAATTAGTTCCACAGACACTGTTTTGGCTGAGTTCCGTAGACGAGAGGGTCTCGAGAACTACCCTGGGGTTTTTTTTAAGCGCCGGTAGGATGGGTGGCCCTGTCGCTCCTGAGCACTGTCACCTTAAAGACCGACGAAGAGCTGCAAGCCCGATCTGATGCTCCACCTCGGGGCTCTCCGTGCGGGGGGCAGGAAGAGAGGGGACTCCTGCACTCTGCCACAAGCACAATCTGAAAGCTCAAGCAGGGGTTGCTGGAGAGTGCCATAATTTTCATTTAATTCCCATGATCTATTTGATCCCAGTGCTCATTCCCTTTTTATTAACTATAAAAGATTTCCTTCTAATCAAAAGCTGCTCTTCATCTTTATCCACAAATGAAGAACTCTGTAGTGGCAAGAATTCAGCGGGCTCAACAGGCACCAGGGGCTGTATTTTAACGCTATCCTTCCCCCTTTTAATAGCTGGTCTTGGGCAGCATAGTAGGGATGCTTTTCCTTAACTGAAGTTATTAATTTATCACTAGGTCCCCCTCTGCGTTGCTCTGATAATCAATGGGGGATTCTAGATCACGTAAATGTAAAGTGTAATTGAGAGGGGGGAGGAGAGGGGACTCTTCAGCACGGAAGCCCTGTTGCTTAAAAAAAATAAAAACATTAAAAAATAAAAGCTGGCAGGACGCGATTCTTCCCCTCGGCGATGAGCACTTCGCCTGTTTCCTGCCCACCTCCCTTCTGCTTGGCAGCAGCAGAGGCTGCTTCTCTTCAACTTGGAAGGGTTTGCCCCTCTCCCACCCATAACATCCATGTGTAAAACTCCGTGCCCCTCCTAGGGTTCAGGGGGAATTGTACAGCAACCTCACGTTTAACTGCTGGTAAATCGATTTAGTGGGGAAATACTTGGCAGCTCTGTCCCCGAGCTGCGTTTGAACAGCAGAGCCATTCCATCTGACGCTCTTGAGGATGAACCCAGAGCCTCCCAATCAGCTTTAATGAAGGAATTGTTTCCCAGCTTTACCTCCTAAAGACAGCAACTTTAGTAGTCGCGCAGATCAAAAGACACGCGTGAAGGGAAGATGGGAAACAATATTGTTCAAAGGAAGTGAACTGTTGCATTTAATTAGTCTATTCTTTATTAGCATTCATACGGAGGGTTTATACTATTTTTTTTAATAGATTTATGTTGATTTAACTGTAATGTATTTCTGATGTAAATATATTCCGAGATGAAAACGTCACGGATCAATTGTAAAGGACCCGGATACATAATTTTCAAAAATCAGTTTCAGTTTATATGAGGTTCTCACCCCACTTTCGCTTCTTAGTCAGATTTGTTTATGCAGAATCGACATTTAATAGTGCTAATTGCACTCCAGTTAAATTGCCCTGATTGCAGAAAGGGAAGCAATTTTCGTGCTCTCTGTCTGGGTTTGGAAGAAATTGTTTTATATTCACCTCTTTATAAAGAAGTGGAGATAAGGCACCGAGCCTTTGCACAAATTGCACTTACGGGCTGACTGGCAGCATTCAGGCGCTATAATAGAGCATTATTTGGCCGTTTTGAATAATGTAAAGCGTTTGCTGAAAGCTATTCTCCTGAAAATTGCTTTAACTTTTAAAAGGGTGATGATTCACTCCAAACCAGGCCTTTGTTACATTGTCATTATCCCCCCAAATGTTTTAACAGTCAGCTCAACACTTTAGCATAACACATTGATCTTTGTTTAAAAACTCGGTTTTTTGGAGTATGGAAAAAAAAGAAATCTGTCAGAAAATACTTGACCCCCTAAAGATTTTTAGCAAGCCTTCCCCTTCTCGCCGCCATCCGCACAGCCTTTCCCTGCCGCCTGCCTCGCTCCCGAGGATTTCAGCCCCTTTCCCGGTTGGGAAGGGGAGCAGGGATGGCCGGCGGTGAGGCAGAGCCTCCCGCCGCAGGCACAACGGAGACCCAGCTACACTGGGGAGGGACGGCGGGCCGGCAGCGGATGCCTTTACTCGCTGATGTGGAGTTACAGCATTTCCGAACGTCACGCTCTCAGTCTCTGCCTCCCAACCTTATTTTATTGATGACTTTCCCCGAGGAGAGCGGAAAGACCCTCTCCCCTCGCCGCCCGGGGGCTGGCCAGAAGCTCCTCGCTACCACTTGACGACCACCTCGGCAGGCTCCTGGGAAGGAGCGGGGCTCTCCCCAGAGAGAGGAAGGAGGGAAGGAAGGAGGGAGGGAAGGAAGAGAGGAGTCACCTGTTGGGCGATTGCTCCCGGGTGCCCCTGTCGGACTCCTCGCCTCTCTCGCGGGGGTTATGTCGCTCCCCCCGCCACCGCCTTAAATCGCCTCCTCCCGTCGAGTGCTCCAGCCCCCCCGGCTAAAGCCGTCGCTCGCCATCCGCGCCAGGCAGAGCTCCCTCCCGGAGGAAGGGCTCGCCATGCACTGCCCGGACCCCTGGCTGGCTGCGAGTCAATGTGGAAAGAATTAAGCGCAGAACAGCGTTTCCTCCTACTGCCCCCGACTCTGCTTAATACGCTGCGACAAAAAGGCGAGCGCCCTTTGAAAATAGCCTTAGACGTTTAAATAAAAGCTAATCTCCAGGGACATCCTTTCCTAGCGTGGCAGGCGTCCTGCAGGTCTCATAACACAATGTACAACAAAACGCAATGCCCGCCTTGTTTAAGCACAGAAAGAAAAAAACCAACCAAAAAAAAAAAAATACCCCCCAAAACCAAACAAACCAAAACCCCAACAAAACAACATCAAAACAAGTAAAGAAAAGCGAAATCCCCTCGAATTCACGGCTTCTCCATCTTGCTCCTCAGCGATGCCTATTTTGCATCTGCTAGGAGGTTTTACACTGGATGGCTGAGGCGGCACCGAGGAGAAGGAAATATTGACTCTAACGCAGAGCGTTGCTTGAACGTATTCGTATTGCTGGTTCAGAGCTGCACCCAGCTGCACGAGGGACGGCAGCAGCGCAGGGAAGAGCTCCTACTCCCAGCCTCGCAGGGACGGTCGCAACGATGAAAAAAGTTGCACGCCAATTGATCTTCCGCCGACACAGTACGGGCAAGTTCTAGCCAATTACTTAAGAAGCCTTCACTAATTGCGAATCAAAGGGACTAGATCGCAAGAGATGGAGGAGCCGAGGTTTGTACTGACATGTCGCACATGCAGAGCGCAGGTAAAGCCTGTGTCGCTCATTGGGCGTGGGGAGCGTGCAGAGCAGAGGCCACAAGCGAGTGCTGGGAAGGCTTGTTCAGCGGCACTGCCCGGAGGGAGCCTGCCTTCTGCCGTGAGCAGCCCTGTTCTACGGGGGGACGTGGGGCTTGAAAACCTGCTACAGGCTGACAATTCCACTTTCAAAGTATTTTGCTGGGGACTACGCTGTAAAATAAAATCGTCTCTTAAACGACAGAATGTCATATGCCCCCTGTTCCCCCTTCCGCCCAGGTACGAGGGCAAGGGGATGCCTTTGGATTCTTTTTTTCCTGGTGCTTTATATAACTAAAACCCCCTCCTCGGTTCCTCTAGCAGAGAAACTCGGGAATACGTTGTGCCCGGAATCACGTCTAGTATTTGGCAAAGCAAAACCAAAAAATTAACCCGCTTTCATAGAATGCCATTAGGCGCAGCCAGCCTGTTTGTACCCAGCGCGGTCAGCCGCCCAGTGACGGCCTGCAAAGGGCCTGTTGAACAGCAGCGCTGCAGGTAGGGCTCGGCGGACCGGGGCACGGCAGGTGGCTGCGGCGCAGCGGGGGATCTCGCACCTCCCGCCGCACACGTTACAGGCGGCGGCTGCAGGCGCGACCCCGGCCCTGCGCCCGACCCCCTGCTCTCGACTGCTGCCCTCTGCGGCTCCCCTCGCCCCGGTGCGGGGTGCGGTGCCGGTCCCCGCGGCCTCACGCCGGCGGCTCGGGCCGTCGGGAGTCACAACCCGGCGTTTGTAGTTAATTGCGGCCGCGATCGCCGCAGTCCGGAGCGGGGAGTAGTTGAGGGGGGGGTGGGGGGTGGAGGGGGTTTACCTCCCCGCGCGCTGACTGGCACGAGCCCCGAGCCCCGGCGCCGGCACCTCCGCCGCAGCCTGATTGGCTGTCGGGCCGCTCCGGGCCGCTCCGCCCGCGCCCTCATTGGGCGAGCGCCGCCGCCAGCGGTACTTCAAAGCGGGCGCTGCCCGCACTTAGGCAGAGTTTAGCCCCGCCGAGCTGGAGTGTCCTCAGCGCCGCCGGGCAGCGCGGGGCGCACACCGAGCGCCGTCCCCCTCCGCCCCGCGCCCCTCTGCCCGGCCCAGCGACGTGCTATGGCTACGTCTATCCTCGGGGTAAGTTGGCTCCGCGCGCTGCCCTCCGGAACAGCCAAAAAACAACAACCAAAACTGTTGCTGCCGCCGCCGCGCAGCGGCTGCCCCTCGGGCAAAGCGCGCTGGCCCGCGAGCGAGCGGTGATCCCGCCCGCCTCGAGGGATTTCGCTGCGGGTCTCCCATCGAGTCGTTTGGTCTGAAAACTCGCTTGGCCGGAGAGAAAACGGGCTGCTTGCCCCCTCCTTTCGTTTGTTATTTTCTTCCTTTTTCTTTTTGCTTTCTTTTTTTTCTTTTTGACCCGAAGCGCCACGCTAAATGTCCAAAGATTTTTCCCGCTAGCTTGGTTTCGCGATCGGCGCCGGTCGCAGGGCTCCACGCCCTGCCCGCCTTCGGTTTTCCGCCGCTCCTGTACAGGGCCCCAAGGAGATGCCGCATCCTGCTCCCAAGGGGTTTTCGGTTTGTCGGTGGTGGGATGCAGCAGCCCGGTGCTGAGCGGGGCGCCCGTCCCCAACCGTCCTTTCCTGATATGCGTGCAGCCCGTCCCCGTCGGGATCCGCTTCAGATGTAAACCCCTCGGGCGCCGAAACGGGTCCCAGACGGAAAACGAGTTGTGTCGAGCGAGGCAGGGCCGGAGCCTGCCTCCAAAACTTTCCCGCGGTGTCCCTCGTCGTGGCGGGTTTCTGCCCGCGTCCGTGTGGGAGCCCGGCGTGGCGGCAGGGGTGAGGCTGACGGGCCGGCTTTGTCTCTCCCGCAGGAGGAGCCGAGATTTGGAACGACTCCCCTGGCCATGCTGGCCGCCACCTGCAACAAGATCGGCAACACGAGCCCCCTGACTACCCTGCCTGAGTCCAGCGCCTTCGCCAAAGGGGGCTTCCACCCCTGGAAACGCTCCACATCCAGCTGCAACCTGGGCTCCAGCCTCTCGGGCTTCACGGTGGCCACGAGCAGAGGCTCCAGCGGACTGGCCAGCGGCTCGGGCACCGCCAACAGCGCCTTCTGCCTGGCCTCCACCTCGCCCACCTCGTCGGCCTTCAGTAGCGACTACGGCGGTCTCTTCTCCAACTCGGCGGCGGCGGCGGCGGGCGTGTCCCCGCAGGAGCCCGGCGGGCAGTCGGCCTTCATCTCCAAAGTGCACACCTCGGCGGCCGAGAGCCTCTACCCGCGGGTGGGCATGGCGCACCCCTACGAGTCCTGGTACAAGTCGGGCTTCCATTCCACGCTGTCGGCGGGTGAGGTGGCCAACGGGGCGGCCTCCTCCTGGTGGGACGTGCACACCAACCCGGGCTCCTGGCTGGAGGTGCAGAACCCGGCGGGGGGGCTGCAGAGCTCGCTGCACTCGGGCGCCCCCCAGGCCTCGCTGCACTCCCAGCTGGGCACCTACAACCCCGACTTCAGCTCCCTCACCCACTCCGCCTTCAGCTCCACCGGCCTGGGCTCCACGGCCGCCTCGCACCTACTCTCCACCAGCCAGCACCTGCTCACCCAGGAGGGCTTCAAGCCCGTGCTGCCCTCCTACACGGACTCCAGCGCGGCGGTGGCGGCGGCCAGCGCCATGATCTCGGGTGCCGCCGCTGCCGCCGCCGGGGGCGGCTCTGCCCGCTCCGCCCGCCGCTACTCGGGCCGCGCCACTTGCGACTGCCCCAACTGCCAGGAGGCCGAGCGGCTGGGGCCAGCCGGGGCCAGCCTGCGGCGGAAGGGGCTGCACAGCTGCCACATCCCCGGCTGCGGAAAGGTCTACGGCAAGACCTCGCACCTGAAGGCGCACCTGCGCTGGCACACGGGCGAGCGGCCCTTCGTCTGCAACTGGCTCTTCTGCGGGAAGCGCTTCACCCGCTCCGACGAGCTGCAGCGGCACCTGCGGACTCACACGGGCGAGAAGCGCTTTGCCTGCCCCGTCTGCAACAAGCGCTTCATGCGCAGCGACCACCTCAGCAAGCACATCAAAACGCACAACGGGGGCGGCGGGGGCAAAAAGGGCAGCGACAGCGACACGGACGCCAGCAACCTGGAGACTCCACGCTCCGAGTCCCCCGACCTCATCCTGCACGACGGGGTGGGCGCCGCCGCACGCGGACCGGGCAAGGAACCTACCGCGGGGCCCGGCGACTCCTAGGGGCAGCGCCACCCGGCCCTGGCCCCTGTCCCTGTTCGGGAGCCCCTGGGGAGCCGCCCGGACTCTGCCCCGCGCCGGCCGGAGGGACGCGAGCCGCCCCTCGCCGCGGACGGTGCCCAGGGCCGCAGCGGAGCGGAACGGACGGCGGGGCCGGAGAGGGGAGGCCCTTCACCCCCGTCCCGCCCGGCCAATAGGTTCCAAGTGACACTTTCTTCCGTTCTCCTTTTCTTTCTGTTGGAAGGAAAGCATCCTGAGAGAGGCTTAAGGTGAGAAATCAAACTGCAAATCCGAGACGGTTCCTCTGTATCGCATAAACATCTGTATAAATAGGGTTCAAAAAAAGAAGAAAAAAAAAAAAAAAAGAAAACCAGATCGTGTTCGCTTATTTTTCTTGTAAATGTTGATCTGAAAGGGGTTGGGGAGGGGTTTCCTTTTTTTTTTTTTTTTTCCTTAATTATTGGTGAATTCCTGAAATTCAGGGAGGTTTTGGGGGTTTTGGTTCCTTTTTTTTTTAATTATTATTTTAAATTTCTGATGCACTTTGTGGAAGTCAGTATATATGTAAAAGATATTTAAAATGTTGAGTTAACATTTCACTCAAACACACGTAAGTTAAGGTCTCTTAAAGAAATTTAAATGCGTTTATCTGTATGGCAAAAAAATCTTGACATATTTTCATTTTGGTATTATTAAAGGACTCTGAACCATAGACTCACGGGTTTTGTTGTTCTTTGTGCCCCCTCCTCCTGCCCAGCCCTCGCCGGGGTCTGGTTTTTAGGGGGGACTCCTTCGCACCCCTCCCTCCCTGTCCCCCTTCTAGTGACCGGGATTAACAACCGGCGGATGCTGGGGTCCGGGAGTGGACAGAGCTGGCCCCCGAGCCGAGCCGGCCCGCTCCATGACTCTTTTTTCAAACCGCCACAGTTTTCGTTTTATGTTGGGGTTTGGTTTGTTTATGGGTTTTTAAACGAATTTAAAGTGCGCCGCTCTCCGCCAGCCGGACGCAGGCCGAGCCCTCAGCGCCTTTAGCAAAACCGGCCCCAAAACCCGAACTGTGCCAGGGAGCTATTTATTTAATTTAGAAAAAGCCTTCAGC